CAGTAAAATATGGTGGTGGTAGTGTGATGGTCTGGGGCTGTTTTGCTGCTTCAGGACCTGGAAGACTTGCTGTGGTAAATGGAACCATGAATTCAGCCGTTTACCAAAACATCCTGAAGGAGAATGTCCGGCCATCTGTTCGTGACCTCAAGCTGAAGCGAACTTGGGTTCTGCAGCAGGACAATGATCCAAAACACACCAGCAAGTCCACCTCTGAATGGCTGAAGAAAAACAAAATGAAGACTTTGGAGTGGCCTAGTCAAAGTCCTGACCTGAATCCTATTGAGATGCTGTGGCATGACCTTAAAAAGGCGGTTCATGCTCGAAAACCCCCCAATGTGGCTGAATTACAACAATTCTGCATAGATAAGTGGACCAAAATTCCTCCACAGCGCTGTAACAGCCTCGTTGCAAGTTTGATTGCAAACTCTTGATTGCAGTTGTTGCTGCTAAGGGTGGCCCAACCAGTTATTAGGTTTAGGGGGCAAACACTTTTTCACACAGGGCCATGTAGTTTTGGATTTTGTTTTCCCTTAATAATAAAAACTGCATGTTGTGCTCACTTGTGTTGTTTTACTAATATTTAAATTTGTTTGATGATCTGAAACATTAAAGTGTGACAAACAACAATAAGAAATCAGGAAGGGGGCCAACACTTTTTCACACCACTGTATATAATAATAATAATAATAATAATATAATAACAATATGTTATTATTATTATAAAAAATTATATTTAATGACATAAGTTATAAAATAATATATAACTGCCAGAGAGTGCATCAGACAATCCATTTGGAGATGGATGGAGACCCTTTAGCACAAAGGACCAGCACACAAGATGCAGTACAAGCCAAGCAACTCAATATAGTAAGAAATACTATCAGGCAATTTAAAGATAGACACTTTAGTACGTAAATAAGTTTTGCATGCAGTCTATAAATATAATATATATTTTATTTTCCCCCTTTTCCATTCACTGTGCTGCAGTAAATCAAGCCTATGCTGTAATACATATGCATGACTCTCCCTTCCTCCATAACTTTGCATTCCTTCTTTCCAAAAAAAAAAAACATCACCAAGAATGGTGTGTCCTTGACAAATTACATTGCCAACATAAAGCTTAAAATGTCCGTTTGATACCCAGTTTGCTTGTCTATGATATTCAAATGTTTCTCTTTGAGGAAGCAATAACAGAACAGAACCAGCGGGAGACTCCGAAAATATCACCAGCCGTAAAATGCAAGTGCTTCGTTTATCTGTAATGCGTTTTCAGTTTCCAACATTCATGAATTCCCACATAGCAGAAATGTGGGTCAGATTCTTCTCTCAATGCTGGAGATGAGCCTTCTAGCTTAAGCGTAACGTCAGAAACATGGGGCTTAGATTCTCATGAGCTTTTGTTACGAGTTTAATGTAAATGTGGCAAATGCACACAATAGGCTTACGTAACCCCAACTTTCATCTACATTAAGAAGCCATGTAATAAAAATCTAAGTTTTATGACTTTCAGTTCATGTTTATTAGCTCTGAGGCCAATGATATTCCAGCATACTCCTGAAAGATGACAAAAATGTGGATACGCAAAAACCAAAAGTAAAATAAAATGGACTTTAGAGGGACCTAAACAAATGCTTATCCAATAAACTGCTTTCAAGATTGTTCCCCATTACATCTGAAACTGGCTAGCATTAGCAAATAGTAAATGGCTTGCTACTAAACAAAAGCTACTGACTATAGTATATCAAAAGAAAATATGTGACAGGAAAGAAAAAGGCATTTGTCATTGATTGTATGGGGTCTTAAAGTGAAAAATAAGTTGTTAAAATGAGCTTGGACCGAAATTCAGCATAACCTGTTTACAAAACTTAACACCCACTTAATCTCGTGTTAAATGAGTTTAAGGCCTAGGAGTATACGACTAGAAAATGATAGACTAATTATATCAACAAACTTTCATGAAATCATTTTCATTTCGGTTTAATCGCAGTAAACATTCATAAAAGCCTTAAAAACAGATTAAGTACTAATATGGACAACAAATTAAGTATCCAGACTGTTTTGACAGTGAACATTGATTAATGAGCAGCAGGACAACAGCCAGAAGATAAAAATGCAAGAATAATTGATTTTAGATGACAAACACTAACAAAATAAAACCCCATGCAATTAAAAATCAAAGTTTTGTCTTTTACTCCATATCTGTGGGCTCTGAGGCCAGACTAAGCGGCTCATTGTGTCCATAGACAAATATGCAAAAATAATTGACTTTAGATGAGAAAATGCCATCAAAATAAGTCCCTCACATAACCAAAATACTCCTAAAAGTTGACCAAATAAGCTTTTACCAAATGGACCAAAATGAGTTGTTCACTGCAGTCTTTATAGTTTCTTTGTCCAATAAAATGCTTTCTAGAATGAGAATGTCCCTTTGCCTAATACTATCACTTACATGGGCTACAAATTAAGTGTGTCCAGACAGTTCTGACACTAAGCGCTGATTAACAACCACCCTACCGTGACAAGACAAAAGTCAGAAGATAGATACGCAAGAACGTTTATTCTAAAACAGCACAATGGAAGACAAAATTCCCTGTGATGACCTATTGACTTTAAACTACTGCAAATGGAGATTTGACTGTCCGACAAGTGTTAAAACCGATCCTAGAATATCCCATGGGATTGTCCACTTATTCCACGGGAGCCGTGTAGAATTCCAGCCATGACGACTTGAGAACCTGAGCATGAACATCTATAGTGAGCCATAAAGAAAGAAAACAATAGCTTTGAGTGTCATGGAATGCTGAATTAGCCAATTATCTAGCCTGTCTACTGTAACAATACTTGAGATTCCAGTAGCCCAAACAATGATTTTATCAAACCCAGAGGCACCTACGAAACAATAAAATCACTTTCACCTTCAGCAGACCTCTATTAAAATGTTACATTCGTAGCACTGATACAATGGTCTTGGAAATGCATCATAAATTCAATATGTGCCAATAACAAAATGTCACATTCCAAAAGTAATTACCTGTTCCGTATTCTATTAGATTGAGAAAATACTGCATCATATCTGAGGTCAACAAATGAATGTAAGACACATTTAGTTTGACACTGAACAGTCATTTTCAGAGGAATGCATCACTGAAAAGGGTGACATCTGAAGCAGAAGATGGCACAAAATGCAACAACACAATCAATTTCATATGCATAGTGTACAATTCCAGTTGCAACACAGGCTACAGTAATGCCTCTGTTGTGCAGTATAATTTGAAGATCAATGCAAAAACCTTAAGTCTCCTTTCATACCGGATTTATATATAAAAAACCTATTTTGGCAGCAGCTGTATTAATTATGTAGAAAGTAAAGAAGAAAAAATTCCTCAGAAGTTGGTCCTATAGGAGTACAATTTATTGGCTGCTTGTTCTCAAATAGTATTCTAAGTTTCTACCCCAAACTAAGCAAGTGGTACTTGTCAAGAAACGTCTCTATTCCAAAACACAACAAACTAATTAGGCAAATGACCTTAAAGACCATTTGTCCTCAACAAACATATCATCAGCTGTTCATTTGTATGGATTCCAATCATTCTTGCAGTGGCTCGAATCTCAATGAAACACAAGGGAGAGAACATGACTATTTACTGCTAAGATACTTCACACTTCACAGAGAAGCCAAAAATCACTTTAAATATGTTGGGATGATAAAATAACTTCTGAAAAAAAAGAAAACACTAAAGCCTACTACAAATTATATATAGGTGAAAATTTAATGTTATTAAAAGAATCATGAGAAAGAAAACTGCCATTAAGCAATTTTAGAAACCTGTACTGAAAACCAGAGATTGTAAGTTGTAATGCACATGCACTCGGTCATGTCTTTTAAAAGAAAAATCTATTAAATGTCACTGAACAAAGAGCTAGGCAATTTTGTGTTACTAAAGGAAAAAAAAAAAATCAATGTGTGATTTTGATGAAACCCATTCCTTACCATGTCTCCTTTATCTCCCTTTTGTCCAGAATGTCCTGCCAAACCCGGAAGCCCTTGATCCCCCTTTCAAATACACATAAGTCACATTATGCAACGTTAATATGCTAAATCGGCTCGCTGTATCAGGTCTAAAACGCTGTGATCAAAATTCAAAGAGGAGTCCTAGCCTGAACTCTGGCTCTTTGTACTTCAGAAGAGATTAGCTTAACATCACCTGCTGATGAAGTGCATGTATGTGCCCAAACACCCCCTTATTTGTGCTAAATTGCTTCTAATAAGCTTTTATTTCTGCCTCTGGCTGTCATCCAGGTATACAGACTGGCATAAATGTGCTTTAATTGGCCATTCATTTTGTATGCGGCATTACCTCAGGATCCATTGTGGAGCACTAATTTATAGAATGCTTTCATGGTTTAACTTTACCTTCAGAGCGGGACAGTGGCATCGGTCGCTGGGCAGCTGGGCTGGCATGGACAGCATTCTGTGGAGGTATCCTGTGACCAGTGGGGCCGCTGTGGGGTTGTGGGTCACTACAGGTTCACACTGGTTAGATTAAAAAAATAAAAACTTGGATTAGTGTTCAATTATTAAAATGTAGACAGAGATAATCAATTATCCACTTTGAATTCCATGAAGATGGGATTTGTGGGGATTTTCTACATTATGCACGCATAGTACATGCATCTTCTTGTGAAATGCATAACTCTGGCAAACTGAGCTACATAAAATATAGTCATTTTAATATGAACAAAGATGTGGGCAAAAGATTAACAGCATTCGAGCTCAATGTTGATGATTTTGGGAGCAGCATTTGCAGATTTTCCTCACTATTATTATTAATTATTTGAGTTACTTGAAGTGAATCAAAACCGATTTTTTTTAAAGACTGTCAATAATTGCACAAATACACTACTGTTTAAAAGTTTGAGTTCAGCAAGGCTGAATTGATTACAGTAAAAACAGTAATACTGTGAAATATCACAAAATATAAAAATAAGATTTTGTTTGAATACATATATACATTTAATTTATTCCTCTGATGGCAAAGATGAATTTTCAGAATCCATTACTTTAGTGTCACATGATCCTTTACAAATCATTATAATACGCTGATTTATTGATCAAGAATAATTTATTACTATTATTAATGTTGAAAAAAGTCGTGCTGCTTAAAATTTTATTGGAAACCTTGATATGTTTTCACTAAATACAAATGTTTTCACTGTCCCTTTTGATCAATTTAATGTGTCCTTTCTTAAAAAAAAAAATCTTACTGACCCCAAACTTCTGAATGTTAGTGTTCAAATAAAATCTAAGAATATATTATTACATTTCTCTTATCATTTGTCAATGTAATTGGGTTTCTTTCTTCTTTCTTTTTCTTTTTTAATTTCTTCAAAGTCACACAAAATTTTTTAATTGACCCATGGAAGGAACCTGAACTGTTAAGAGGAATCAAAACTGTAATCTTATTTTTCCCATCCCTAGTCATACCCCAGTAAATTTAGCTGTGGCCCCTCAAGAGCTGGTGCCCTAGGCAATCATCTGTGTTGCCTAATTACATGACCGGCCCCACTGGCCACTTGGACCATTCCACTTCCATGTGGAAAACACTAAGGAAACACTATCCTAAACGCTGAGAGGGGGATTAGCACACAACTGTAAAGACCATGTACCAATTACAGCATTGAGCAGGGATGTGGATTTTCTCTAATCCAATCGTTTAAGACAGAATGTTGCCTTTAATTAATCAGAAATTATTGACCGGAGCAACTCGAGCTAAAAGGATGCACTCAAGGGCTTTGTCCACAGTGGAAACGATCGGTCCAAGAACAATACATGGAAATCACTATGGCTCTGTCCCAAAACCTACACCTTTGCCTTTGTGGACGGCATTTTTAGACCGTTTCAAAAGGTAAAATATATTTTTTTAGGCCAAATTCTATGGCAGAATTGCATGTATCCTTCTCAGAGAAGGAAATTCCAAAATGCATGGCAATGAGATTAGTGAAAAATCAATGGAAAATGGTAGGTTAAACAAGAAAAAGATTATTATAAATAATTAACTTAAAGGAACACTCCAGTATTTTTGAAAATAGGCTCATTTTCCAACTCCCCTAGAGTTATACAGTTGAATTTTACCACTTTCGAATCCATTCAGCCGATGTCCGGGTCTGGCGGTAGCACTTTTAGCTGCAGCTTAGCATAGATCTTTGAATCTGACTGTTAACATCTCGCTCAAAAATGACCAAAGAGTATTTGATATTACACAGCGCCTGAAAATAGGCTAACTTCCGCCAACATAACCACCTGCTTGCACAGGGTACGTGCTGGGGACTATTTTCAGGCACTGCGTAATATCATCGCAACTTTTAATTTTCCGTCGGTCTTAGTACACCATGTATCTACAGAAGAGTCAAGTTTTAAATAGGAAAAATATCAAAACTCTTTGGTCATTTTTGAGCGAGACGCTAATGGTCTAATCAGATTCAAAGACCTATGCTAAGCTGCAGCTAAAAATGCTACCACCAGACCCAGAGATCGGCTGAATGGATTCGAAAACGGTCAAACTCAACTGTTTAACTCTAGGGGAGTTGGAAAATGAGCCTATTTTCAAAAATAGTAGAGTGTTCCTTTAATACGGAGAGATTTTCAGTCAATGCCTAAAACTTAAGTCTGCTTCTCAAACAAAACTATCATGTGGCTTCAGAAAATATGGAATATAATGCAAATAGACTACTTTTTCTATGCTCTTTTGTGAACCTGACTAATTAAAAATGTACTATTTCACCCAATTTCTGTGCACTGTGTAGTTTTCCGCTTATTAGTATATCACATCATATGTTCACAACAAATTCAATCAAAATCAATTGTGAGTTGAGTTTGTAATTGTTCAATTGTGTCAGGAGTATGACACACACGGTTGTGTAGAGCTATGGCTATGTAGAGCGTTCCAGATCGGTCACTCTTGAGCCCTTATAAGGCAGTTGTCTATGTAGGCAGTAGACAGCAAGGCAGCTCACTTGATTTTGGAAATCTTTGAAAACTAACTAGACCACACTACCACAACAAAGACAAAATGCAGAGACAGTTCCATTTTCAAACATTATCTGAATGATTAATATTATTCAGTAAGCAGTGCTGAAATGTGACTGGCCTGATTTAATTTGATGAATATGTCAAGCCCCTAATTTTAGTGCAAAATTATGGGCTGGGTTTACAGTCGTTTAGGAAGGATCACTGAGTCTGCATTATTAACACTGCTGCACCATAAACCCGAACATCCTACCGTAACTCCAGGAGAATCGCAGCATCTGTCCAAGTCGGCTATTCTACCATCACAGAAGATCAGAATCTCCTGAAGTTCAATCTGTGAATGTAAATTTACATTTATGGGCATGAACACACATGCCTGACAAATCAATCCAACAAATTTGCAGCAAACTACTCAATTTTGACCTGCATCAGGTTCAGGCATGAAGTTAGTGAAGTTCCCTCAGACTACAACGGTGTCCACCATAGTTTAACAATCACTAAAAATACTAAGCTTTGCATATTCAGATTTAGCAAGTGATGAGAACCTCCGTCCACAACTCACATCCACTGGACGTCCATCCTCCACTCGAGTGGTGATGAACGTGCGTCCGCTCACGTTCATGCCAGACCTTTCAGCTGTCACCTGACGCTCAATCAATTTGCAGTCCAGGTAGACGGAGACAGCATTGCTCTCGACAGACACACCTAGCTTGTGAAACTGTCGATCGAAGAGGGCATGCAGGTCTCGGTTCTTGAACACGTACAGGAGGCTGTTTTTCAGAAAACCCTGAGCCAAAAACTCGACTGTTTTTTTAGCTCCATCCACTATTAATGACACCTAAATGAAGGAGAGAAGAAGGGATGAACATTAGTGGCTCATTAAGAGAGTTAATGAGATAAGCTGACTGAAGTCTAGCGACTGCAGTGTACAAAAGAGTGCCATTTATATAATGATCATTTTGCCAGTCTTGCAGGAGTTATTGGTTTTGAACATACTCTGATTGATCAATGTCTTTTTTGTAGATCTAAATAAAGTCTAGGATTTTTCACATACCTGTGTATCTCCACCTTTATCAAAGATCTGCAGAACAAACCAGCGATCTTTCTTTGTGGTTTTTCTGAGCCGGAACGTGGCAATAATGGAGTACTCATGCGAAAGTCCATTTGGGAACACAGATCTTTAGAAAAGAGACACAACAATAACATCTACAATTAAAGTTTATCAAGATAAAAAGTAGAACACAAAAACAAATATAGGACCATTTACCAATTAAGGCTGCATTTAAGTCATAGTAAAAGCATTTAAAAATAGTGAAATATTACAATTTCAAATTGTTTTGTTTTTAAATATATTTTAAAATGTAATTTATTCCTGTAATGCAAAGCTGAATTTTCAGCATATATACTGTAGTCTTCACTGTCACATGAGCTATCAGAAATCATTCTAATATGCTGATTTGCTGCTCAAGAAAGTTGAAAATTGCTATTGATACTGATACTGTAATGCATTTTATTTTAGGATTCCTTGATAAATAGTCACTTTTAATTAATTTAACGTATGCTTATTGCTTAAAAGTATTAATAAAAAAAACTAATAAATCTAACTGACTCAAATTATTTAAATGGTAGAAAAAAATGACAGTAAATTAATAAGTGAATTGGTTTGGTTCAGCAGTACAGAGCTATTTTCACTTAAACTCTTCTATTAAGAGCTTCAATAAGCCAAGTGCATTGGCATCAATCTTCTCCTCTGCATTTTTCTCTTTAGTCTTGCCTGTAAGATTTATCAGATGAATTTACTAGAAAGCGCTGTAAATGTGTCCTTTCATAAACTGAGATTCTTCTGTCTGTCGGTCTATTGTTTATAGCACTGAGAGGTTTCGCTCTTCTGAACGAAACACTGTAGCTGTGACTTGAAGCAAACTCATGGTACAAGAAAGAATGCTAAAAAAAACTTTTAAAGCTTCCTTCCAGTTATTAAAATTGTTGAAAGAGTAATATTACATTTTTGAGTGAATCTCATAACACTGTAAGTGTTACAGAAAGAATTACTCCCCTTTTCCTTTTTCATTTCTTTCACACTCTATTTGGTAACTGGCACTTCATCAAACACAATCAGCAAAACTGACAATGAGAAAATCTCATGTATGAATACTTTAAAAGGACAGAAGAGAACGAGAACGAGAGAGAGAGAGAGAGAGATCAGACTTGCAAAAGACAGGCTGAAAATGAGTTTCTTCTCAAATAGATCATATTCGATTCTCTCTAGGCACGTCTGCATAGCGTGTCTCCTGCTTTCACAGGCACAGTGGGGAAAATGCACATTATTAAAATGATATATACTCTGACTTTACATGCTGGCAAGATCAAATGCTTTTGGATAAGAGGAAGACACAGGAGAGGGGCTTATGAGAAACTAGTACAGATGTATTAAAAGAACAATGGACAGAATATTACTAAAACTGACCGCAAATTTTTTTAATCTACTCAAAATATCACAATATCACAAGTCATCCCTTACTCACCCTCAAGATAGAGCGGAACACAAAGGAAGATGTGTGGAAGCATGAATGAAGTTTCAACACTTCAGTAGATGTGAGAATTTTCAGTGAATAATGCCTTAAACTTCAGAGTGTTTCTCAAAATATCACATGGCTTTAGAAAATATGGCATCTTCATACAATGAAAGAATATACTTAAAGCATCTCCTCTGCATTCCACAGAAGAAAGAAAGACTTCTTGGAACGGCTTGAGAATTCCATAAAAATTCAATCTTGCATTTATCTAGATAAGGAAGGAGGCAATAACAGGTTCAAAGTGAGAGAATAAAGCCTTTTTTGTAATTGCTGAGTAACTGATTTTATGAATGCAACCCTAAATTATACTTGATATGGCCAGCCAGTGGAATGGACTTGTGCCGAGTGAGACCTCATAAGTGAGTGCAGTGTTTCGAAGCGCACCAACCTGGGCACCGTGACATCAATTCACTTCATCACTGAGCTGTTAAATAGGGACATCAGAGGCCATATGCCAAATATGATGGGATGTAACACTCTAATGCAGCCCATATTAAACTAATCTCTGAACATGCAGATTAATAAGCAAACAAATGGTACAACTGCTACAAAAAAAAAAGAAAAACAGACAGTGGCCTAAGTTTGTGACCCCATGCTTTTATATTCTATTCTATTCAATTATAATGGTGGGCAAACCTTTATTATTAAATTAGATATTTTATTTTAATTAAATTAATTTTTTATTCAATTATTTACATTACATACGTACAAAAATAATAATATAATATAATACATTATTATTTTTGTATGTATGTATATATATATATATATATGTGTATGTATGTATGTATGTATATAAATATAATAATATTATATAATAATTTAATATGTATTCAATTCATAAGTGAATGCAGTTTTATGACCCCTTTGGGTTTTTAGCACCATTGACTCTTTCAGCTAAAAGAATAGTTCAGGAGTTGTGCCGAATGAATATGGGGAATAATTTAAATGTAAATAACTGAATTAAAAATAAATGTAATGAAAAAATTTAATATCTAATTTAATAATAAAGATTTGCCCCCCAACCATTATATATATTATATAATACAATACAATACATAATTCAATGATAAATTAATACATTTATCATTTATATTTTCCCAAAAAATATATTATATTACATTATATATGTTATATTATACATTTAAATGGTTTAATAAAATAAAATAAAACATTTCCATAAATAAAACAAAACGATAGAAATTTGTGCACTTCTAGTGGCACTACACAGCATTGCAAACAATAAATCATAAAAAAAATAAAATAATAAAACATCCCACATGCACTGTCAAAGGATACAAACAGAAAATTCTACCCCAAACTTATACATTTAGTTGAACCAGCATTATTTTGTCTTATATTGGGCAAACAAACTGACTGCAATTGTGTTTGGTGGTTTTGTGCCAAAAATGGTGCAAAAAGTGTTTCATTTTGTCCATAGTCAAAAAAAACAAAATAAAAGGAAAGAAGAATGTACTCAGCCACATAGAAACGGCAACATTTAAGCAGTGAAATGAACAAATGCGGTATGCCTACTTTATCAACTTCCTCCTTTCAACAACTCAGTTAGGACTACCAGGCGAACATTACGTCACACAATTAATATTCATGAGCAAACTTCACAAGCTTTATATTGTGCTTCCCCCAACACTCTTCAGATCATTCCCACGCCCCCTTGCCTCTCATAAAAATGAATACCAAACATGCAATTAGCACATCTTTGCAGAGTCATCTGTGAAACAACTAATGGAAAATAGTCTGGAGGAGTGGAGCCTTCTCTTTCCATGTGACCGTATCAATTGGACGACGGGGCCCGGCTGCATTTCCTGCGAGTAAAGTGAGAGATGTTTGGAGTTTGTGCTGGGGACTCTTTGACCCCCTTCTCCAACCCCCCCCGACACATCCAGCTGACTAACGCCATCACCTGTCAGAGTTCAGCTTAATTGAGGTCTGGCGGTGTGTGTGTCTATATGGAGGTCTGGGCAGACAACTTGTCATTCTCATCCCTCAGAACGGCACTCCACCTCCAGCCAAGGAGACTCACAGTTGGTCCCTGAGGGCAGGTCTGAACAGCAGATAGAAGGCCCCACAGCAGGCCGCTGACCACCAAGTGTCGGATAGAGCAACAGATCGCAAATCATCTGACCCATGACTCCAAACAGTGTGTTTACAGTTGGATAAAAAACGCTAAAAATATCCCGCCTTTCCCTGTGCAGATGACTGGGTGTTATTTTTCACTGGTGAAACGCGTGGAGGTACAAGAGAAGTCCACTGGGTGCTAAATCTCTACGGCCAAACCAGCAGGTGTGCTTGAAACCACAGAGAATAATCAGCTAGACTGAGCTAAAGACTATGATGAAACACAAATGCACAAATGACCTACAAATGTTAAACAATGTACTGCTTTATTGCGCAATGTACTGCCCTGAAATCTTAGACACTTAAAAATGGATACATCTTATTGCTTTTTATAAGCACTAATTACGCCAGACCTTTTCTCAGAACCTCTACTGGTGATTACATTTAACTAACTGGTCCCAGGGACATTTTAAATGGATTTATGTAGTCGGTTCTCCTCAAGTTTACACAGATGTAGCCCATCACATTAACTAGGAACATACTGAAAGTGTCCAAATGCTTTGCATCTTAAAGCAATAAGTAATGAGATGCTGTGTGGTACAGTGAGTTTATTCAGAGGAAAGGGTAAAAATAAATACTGTTTAAATCAATTAATACTTTTATTCAACAAGGACACATTTAATCAATCAAATGTGACAGTAAAGACATTTACAGTTTCATGTTACAAAGGATTTCCATTCCAAATAAATGCTGCTCTTTGGAACTTCCCATTTAAAGAATCCTGAAAAACGCATCATGGTTTCCACGGTTTTCTAATTTCTACGGATTATAATAAGAAATGTTGCTTGAGAACCAAATCGGCATATTTGAATGATTTCCTTTTTTTAATTATTATTATTATATTACTATATTAAATACATTTAAAAACTATTTTACAATTATTTTTATTTTATTGGTTTGACTGTATTTTTCACATCTTGTTGAACAAGGTTCATCAAAAAAAAAAAAAAAAAAAATCTTACTGCCCCAAACCCTAAATGTTCAATAGATTGTAATTTAGTTTATCATTTAGCAAATGTATCTGCCTTCTACAAATGTTTACAACATTTACATTTTGCTTGTGAAATGTGCCTGTGCTGTATTTCTTAAATGAATTTCACTAGGTTTGATACATTGTGCCCAAATACTGTACTTTTTGGTGCCACTGTCCATTTGGTCTTGCTATAAAAAAGACAATTTTTATGAAAATAAAGTGGAGTCCCAGACAACTCTGAATTCTCCTACTTCCAACTCGAAAATAAACATGGGAATGAAGCTCGACAACAGACTTTGAAAAAAAAAATGGGGCAGAATAATCAACCCTGACTTAATTAGATCTTATGAGCATAATTTGATGTAATTTCCAAGACTATGGCTGTATGGCAACAAAAGTGCTAAGCATTGAGGAAAAAAATAATAATTTAAATCATTCAGAAAAAAAATATTTATAGTTAAATAACATGAAACAGTCATGTTCACAGCATCACAATCAAAACAAAAAGTGTAAGCACGTCCTATTTCAAACTTTCAGTTCATGCATTTCCTGGTAATCAAACCCAAGACCTAGGCGTTGCACACCACGCTTTTATGTTCGTCATAATTATCATAAGTCATGCTGCCACCCTATTTTGTTTACGTTTTATGACGTACGACCAACTGGAACGCTTTGAGGTTGGAAGTGGGGAATTTTAACTCTAGTCTTCCCACCTCCGACTTAGTCTGGAACTTGCCACAATCCCACCAGCTTTTCAGCAATACACAAAAGAGTTCTTTTGAGGATCAATTTGAGCTCTTTGGACTCATGAATATGCTGTGGGTTCACACGGTTTGGACAGCTGACCTTGACAGAACACGGCCTACATAACTCTACATGTCCAGGGCTGTTATACGTATATTAAACATACCTGAAACGTCAAACTAACACAGAAGCCTTCTTTGAACTTGGTGTCACCCTTCAGCTATAAGTTATTAAAGTCATTTTAAGGCAATTAATATGCAGGACATGATTCCCCATTACTGCTTGATTTCTCTTCTAGGCGGTACTCCATTACAGTCACCTCTCTTTCTCCTTGGTCGAGCCCACTGCCCACGGTCTGCAAATTAATTCTGTCCAAATTATTCAACATGTCTCACGGCTTACCTCACAGTTTATCCTTATTAGCCAATGTGAGGCGGAATTATCTCAGCAAGCTCGTGATATCTGGGTCATTCCATGTCAACACACCATTAAAAGCGTACAAGACATCTCCTGAGTTTTCTACCGGATATCGTTTGAAGTGAAAGCAAGCTTACACCGTGAGAAAACATTGGTTTGCATCGCAGAAACCCAATAACAGCCTGGCATATTTTCAAATCTTAAGTGGTGTAAACTCATGCGAACGGCTCGGAGAACGCAGTTGTTCAGCGAGGCAACCTGCACTCTATCCCATCCAGAGATTCTGTCAGAAGCTGTCAGAAAGGCTAACCAAAACACGCAACATGTGGATGTGGGCATTAATTCAAACTACCATCATAACATGCTCATCACAGCAGTGATTCTGCAAGGAGCTGTCCTACTTTCTGCTCTCCAGATGCTAGAAGATTCTGCACATCGTCGATCACGTCCAAACTACGTAAACATCCATATGGATATGCACATTTGCTGCAATAACTTCCAGCTTCCCTGTTGAAAAAAAACAGCATATGCTAGTTAGGTATGTTTTGACGCTGGGATACTGGTCCTTTGCTGGTTTATGCTGGTCATGTGCTGGCAAAGGACCAGCTTAAACCAGCAAAGGACCAGCATAAACCAGCAAAGGACCAGCATAAACCAGCATCCAAGCATCAAAACATACCTAACCAGCATATGCTGTTTTTTTCAACAGGGTTAGCCGTCACAGTTAACATTGTTTTCAGACAAAACAATCCTCTGAATGATGTGCGAGTGGAAAAATAAATGGCACAATATCAAAACCACATCAACATTTGCAGAACTTACTCTGTTGGTTTAAACAAGGGTTTACTCCCCAGTCTCAACAACAGCCTGTTGTCCGTCACCGTGCCTTTTCTGAGAAGAAACTTCTGAGCTAAATCAAACCCTGTAAACAAGAGATGAAAAAGGCAAACACACATTACATTTATGCATTCACCAGACACTTTTATCCAAAGCAACTTACAGTGCATTGTGTAAACAATTTGGGAATTGAAAACATGACCTTAGCGCTGTTAGCACCATGTTCTGCTAAAGGAACAACATTAGCTTTAGGCTAAAGAGATTTTCAGCAAATGCTGTCCCGTACAAACTGTTGGACACACATTTGTAGTCTTTTATCTGGAATGATTAGTATTAGCAAGGCAACACTATTGTTATTCCTTAAACATTTTGGTTTGGGGCTTATTCTAAACTTCTGCGATTAGAGCAGACTCTATTCAAACTTCGTTTTGTAGATTTCAGCCTTAGGTGTACCGTTTTTAAATGCGCAACTAGCATTTAAATCTAACGTACACTGATGATGGCACTGTGGTATTTGCATATCAAATAGTGATTGCTTGGTCTTTACTTTCTTGCTCTCTATTTCTTGCTATCTTTTTAACCGTTACAGTCCAAAAGTTAGATTTTTTTTAAATACATATTTATTCAGCAAGGATATATTAAATTGATCCAAAATGACAGTAAAGTCATTTATATTGTTACAAAAATATTCTATTTAAAATAAATGCTGTTCTTTTGAACGTCCTGTTCATCAAATAATCTAAGTTTCCACAAAAATGTACGGTTTTCACCATTGATAATAAGAAATGTTTCTTGAGCAAATCAGCATATTAGAATAATTTCTAATGTGACACTAAAGACAAAAATTCAGCTGAAATTCAGCTTTGCGATCACAGGAATACATGTTAAAATATACAAAACAGTTATTTGAAACTAATAATATTTCACGTTATTACTGTTTTTACTGTATTTTTTATCAAATAAATGCAGGCTTGGTGAGCATAACAGACTTCTTTCACAAACATTTATAAAATCTTACCAACCCCAAACTTTTGATAGTGTACATCCATTTTTACACTTTACACAGTGACTGTGATTCTTGTGTGCAGCCGCTCTGCAAACGCTCTGACACTGTATTTTACAGAACCACATTTTAAAAACTCAGCTTACCTACAACTTTGACCGTATTCTTTAGCTGGCTTGCAAGAACTGGCATTTCCTTCAGGAAATGCAAAATTAGCTGTATAAATTGCTCTGTCAGCTTCCGCCATGTGCAACATTAGGGATGTTTTAAACAGCCAGTTTGATGTTTAACAGCTCTGTGTAAGGACGAGCGGTGCTTGAGTTCTATTTGTATATACAGTATTCTTTGTTTGTACCTGTGAATTCTCTGTGAATGTTCACATTGGTAGGCCATTTCTCTTCCAGCTTCATGGGCGGACATGTATGATCTGCAGAGGAGAGGAATATCATGTGTTACTGAAGCAATTGAATTGATTTTTAAAAACTGGTAATGTTTTAGGTTATTCAGTATAGAGGACACCACAGCTATAGTTAGTTATAAGCTATGAAGCAAACCATCCAGCTACAACGTGAATCAGAACATTAAAAATCTTAATTGGAAACAAAAAGACAACAGGTGTAAAACTGCGTATGGCTTTAATGAGGGAAAAAATGCAATCACCTGAAGCATTGTGAATGACAGTCAGAATAAAAACGATGTTTAAATATAAAACTATTGGTTAAAAAAAGTTCTTTACATTAAAGAAACAGCATAATTGTATCCATGTATGTATTTGATGTGAAGCTAAAGCAAGATTGTTCAATATATATTTGATATCAGCATATTAATCCATAAATATCAGCGCTGAAACGCCACGTGCACTTCAGCCAGATTGTTTAATATTAAATATATAGTTATTAATATAATCAAAATCGCTTTTTAAAACTGCATCCAAACAACATGGCCTCATTAGTGTGTTTAAAAAGCATAGTTGCGAATATTTAATTTACATGCACATGGTCAAAAGCTACTGTTTACTGCAATTTCTCTGTGCCGAATGATGATAAATCAGCAATGCTGAACATTCAATCTCTCTCTCTCTCTTTCAAGCACGCGAACGCCGACAGCACAGGACTCACAGTGGCGTGTTAAACTCAGATGGCATCAAACATGATCATTTAAAAATGACACCGCACACATACTCTGCAAAAACAGCTACAAAGTCACAGCAACCGAGACAGATGAACACCGGCTAACGTACTTACATTTGCTGAGAAAGTTTATTATTCCAGCGTAAGCACACAGCACAAGCAAATCCTGTTTGGTTAATTAGCGCATTTTAGGCAGCTGTGGGTCCAAAGCACACTTGCAAATAAAAGTGAGAATGAACGCTCGTGCAGGAACCGTGTCCTTATTTGTCGCACTGCCTGACCCTCCCACCCACTCATTAGAGCAGCACACATCAGGACGGACAGGACACTCTGAGGGGCTCCCTGTGGAACACGCTACAGTACAGTACACAGGCTACTTGACCAATAGCAGGGGTACTAACTTTTCTTTTTGCTTAAGTTTTTCACATTTTAATCAGCTGTATACATATTTAAAATGATGCCATGCTGCATGCATAATGATGAAAATACATTTAATTGGCATTGTCAACATTTTTGTACCATGAACTGATTTTGCTTGGCTATATATTTCAGTAAATATTATATAATTAATAAAATAAATATTATATTATAGTGTAAATATTATAATATTATTATGATATATAATATTATTATACTAACTGTATTAAATATTTCTCAGGATGGGTTTATAGCACATAGCTACTACAAAAGTCTTTAGCTAAAAATATTTAGCTAAAAAGTGGAACAATTTTTGACACACAAAGCACAAAAATGTATAAGCCAACATGGAAATATTAGCCAGTGTTTTGGATGACAAATAGTTTTTTGTGTGTGTGTTTTAAGTTAAGTCTTGTCTTTTATTTTTGAAGTGTATATAGTTTTTTATTATTATTTTGTTTTGTATCTTGCACTGTAATAAATCAATCTGTAAAATAACTGCTTATTACTGGGACATTTTCCAATAATTTTAAATACATTTCAACATAGCGTGATGCAGTGTAAAATTCAAAATACAGGTAAAAGACCTGTAAAAAAAAAAATAATAAAGAAAATTATTTTAAATTAGTACACTACATTGTGCCCTATTTATATAGATTTTTAATGGTTTTCTTTTCTTTTTTGCAGGCAATTTCTTTTTTGTTTACTTTTTGAATGGTTTTCTATTGGTTTATTAATCCTGTTGTGTCGTGTTATCAGTTTTGTATAGTCATTGTTTCATTTGGGCTTGTTATCTTGTGTGTCTCACTCTATAAATACCACATTTTTTGAATACAGATATTATAGAATTATTATTAAATAAAAGTAAAATTAATAATAGATGACATAATGAGAATGCTTGCAAAAAAAACAACAACAACATATGATTTGAGTAAACATTGATTTTGAAATGCAACTAACACTACAAATCTCCAATCCATATACCACAAATCTTCAATATATGGGAGATTTGTTGAGGAGATTTGTGGTACGGTGTTACTCAAGCTATGAATTCCAGCGCTGTCCATATAGAGTTATCTATATGCCCACAACCTGTTTATTCCTCTGGATGCTTTCATATGAATCTACTACTTTTGAAAGCACTATTCATTTGAAGCAGGGATTTGCAGCGCATTGCGATATCTCACCTGACCATCTGACTATTCTGACCACCCCTTTTGTGTTTACACAAGGCCCTCAACACTGATGAATAATGAGACGCATTTTTAGGATTGTGTTTGTATTGGCCTTATTAGTGTGTCTCCACATTACCAGGCACCCCCAACCCAGCTGCTTTCAGAACAGCTGTTTCTCAGACAGGGAATCAATGAGACTTCTCAGCTGTGATTCACTTCAGACTTGCATTTCTGCTACAATGGCATCATAATGTCCCCTGTGTTCTGTTGAAGAATGTCCCACCACCGAGAAACAACCACCTTAAGCCTGCAGATGGGAAGTTTAGCCCTAGAACAACATGCAGAAAACATGCTGCCCGTGCTGACCCAGAATCAAACTTCTCTGTGCAGATGCATCAGTGTGAAAGATCACTATCTGTCGTGTCTGTTTCCCTTGTAAGGATGATGACAATTTGAGGAAAAGAGTTTGGTTAAAATAAAAATGCTTTTGTTTTATTTGCAATATATATTACATATATTACATTTGTTTTCTTTTTTAATATTATGTTATTTTGAATGTATATAAAATACGTATATACGTGTGTGTGTGTGTGTGTGTGTGTGTGTGTGTGTTCATGTTCATGTGATTGTGTAAATGATCATAAGATGTTATGATATTCCATACACACACACACACACACACACACACACACATATATATATATATATTTTTTTTTTTTTTATTATTGATATATATATAGATATTTTTATGAATCTTAAATAATAATTTACATACTAAAGGGTTTGCTGTTTCTGTAGTCTTTGGGTTTCTCAAAGCAAGTTCACCTATTTCAGAGCTTTTGGGCCAAGAAGTCACATGAAAAACATTGACTTGTTTATGCATGCGAAGACGAACAAGGAATCTGTTAAAAATTAAAAAGCGTAATCATGTATGATTTATAATAATCCCCCAGTAACCCTTTTAAATCTTTATACACAAGTTTTATCGGCAGACATCATGTTCATCTCTAGACTGATGATGTGTCTTACAGTAATGAATTCACTTTCAGACAAACTCTTAGTACATGGATTTTAAGCTCCTCTCTTATAGCAGAGGAATACACAAACCCCTCTTCTGCTCCACTTTGTGATGCCATTTGGTTCCCAAACAGCACATTTTGTGTATTCTTTCACTTCTTCACATTCAGAAACTTTCTCGAAGGCTGTTTTCCTGGCAAACAAACATCCCAATCCGCACATGATATCAACTGATATCAGACGGAACACCTGTTTTTCCAACGCACCTGCTGTTAAAAGAGACACACTATTTACATTCTCCTCAGTTGTTGCATATTTCTCACTATTGAAATGTCTGTTAGCTTAATGCATCACCCGGAGTATGGGTTACATTACTCTTTCTTATTGCCATATGGTTTGTATATTTTGTGCACAGGCTTTGTTTCCCCAAAATGCTTCTCAAACAATAGCTCTATTCCTGTAGCTCATGTTGCTCCAGTTTGCCAGTGAAAACTAAATAAATGGATATTGCAAACAACTGAGAACAAGAGGTCCTAAAAACTTCATTCACTTTGCTGCAGTGGTGAGCTCACATGCCCATTTATGCAGGTCTAATACAAAAGAAGAAAGACTAAATGCAGCCTGTCAATGTTTGGGAAGCCAAAGCCATTCATTGAAATTGAATTCAACAGATATATTAATGTAAAAGTCTCCCATGAAGCACATGACTAATGATTTTCTGGTAAAACTGAGATGTTTAGACTAGTTTCAATAATGTTTCAATAATTTCAGTAGATTTTGATTTAGCAGGTCAAAATAGATAGTACATTTTAAATTGTGGATATTATACTTTGTTGCTGGGAATTTGGGTTTGAGACATTCTGGGAAGCAGATATAAGCAGGTATATCATATAATAAATGGACCACTTTGAAAATCTGACTCACAAAATTAAAGAACGTTGCAGTAGGCTACTTATAAGGACTCACTTATAGTTCATGCTGCGTTTAAACAATTTAAAATTTCCATCATGCTCTCTGTTCTGTACTTCCGGCTTTTCCTGTCAGGTTATTGTAGAAAGGACAAATGAGATTGATAAAACGATGGCAAATGTGACCCAGAGACTAAATGAAATCAGGGTATTAGATTTGGTATCTCACCGTATCTCACAGCTAATGGAAGTTTCCTGGTGCCTATCAGTCTCCTTGAGACTAGACAATACAGTCTGTAGTGCACTTATAAAGGGAATGAGAGTGTATATCAGTGCTGAGTGTGCATTTTAAAGGATCCTGGGAGAAATTAACCCCTCAGATATTATTTTTCAAGAATAAATTGATAGAATTTTTTTTTTTAAAGAACTCATGTCTGCATGGCTATTTCGACCAGCAGCTATTGAACATAAACATCAGTCTTGTGACAGTACTGCTTATTAGTCACTATCTTTAAACCTCTAAAATAATTGTTCATTGTTATCATGAGATAAGCAATCAGTTTCATTCCTGTAGCTCAGCTGGTAGAATATAGCATTAGCAATGTCAAGGTCAAGGGTTTGATTCACATGGCCTGAGCAAAAGTGTACAGTTGATGCACTATAAGTTGCTTTGGATTTACAGTGTGTGCCAAATGCATAAATTAGAATTTTGAGGTTACAATAAACATTCAATGTTGCATGTCATTTCCTTGCAGCACAGTTTGCTTGAGGTCTCATGGTCAGTATCATATATCGGTGATTA